TGCAAACAGAAACCGAAACAATGCAGCAATAAGAGATAACAGCAGTATGGGATAAAAGAAGCTAAGAGATGTATCAAAGGTACTGTCACAGATAAGGACAACACTCGACACCAAATTAAATTAATAAGAGAGATATAAATAATAAAACAACCCTTAATATACATATATATAAGCTGCAAAATTCTATCTAATATTGTTAATTAATATATTTATTGTCTACAAGCTAACAAAATGCTCGATACACAATAGCTACAAAATAATATCTAATTTGATTGAATAATCAATATATTATCTCTAAGATATTAGAATGCTCGATATAACAAATAATGTGTTGACCTTTTGCCTAATATGAATCTATGAGGAAGTCTACAAACAATCAAATTCTAAGTTTCTATTTGCATACAACGGATTCTTGAAGTTTTAAACCATACAAATTCTCGATTACTAAGGGCATGGAACCACTTTGTTTCATTGCCCCACGCAGAGTTTCTCTAAAGGTAATGCTCAAAATTAATATTGTTACACTAACATTAGTTGAAATAACACGGACCATTGATCTCTAAAGGTATAAAATTTAAACATAAATAATAAGTCAATATAAAAGACTTTGATATCCAAAACTAAAAACTGTGACGAAATATAAAAAGTACGACACAAAAACAATTATAATAGAAGTTAAGATATCATTGTTTTTCTCTCTAATTCATACATGACCCTAAATCATTACTCAATTGCGAAAAACGGGAATAATAGAGAGAACTAATAATACCTTTGGAGAAATTTGTTTCTTTCTACACCAATACCTTTAGATAACAATGAATGATGTGGAACAATGACATCTTTAATAGGAATAACTGGCTTATTCTTTTTCTACATAGAGTCATGCATTAAATCTGAATCCTACACAAACTGAAAAATTAAATAAGGAAGCATATTGTTTTGTTGTGAAAAACGGAATAGGCTACGAGGAAAAAGTAGGCGGTAGAGACCAAACCAAGAATTTAACCAAAATCGGCATATTGTGGTCCAACAAAAAGTAGGTTAGCAAGAAGAAGTATGCAGCGAGAAGTAGAGTCCAAAAAAAAAAATGTCCCAAAGTCGACTATGTAGCCTCAGTGTATGCCTAATTTAAATGGAAAGAAAAATCAGCGATTTACAATTATATCCTTAAATTATATAAATATTTAAGGTTATAAAAGTCGATCAATATTTCGAGGTTATTTTAGTCGTCCAACATTTAGCATAAATTATTCGTGCTTTTATAATAATATATACATAGATTAGTTATAGTTATTAGTTATTATAGTTATTATTTTTATAAAACAGCTTATTTCTTTCTTTTGTCAAAACTTTTTACCAGCAGGATAAGAAAGGAATGCTAAGAAGACGAGTACTTAAATCAAGCTCTATGTTAATTAGTAGTAGTACCAGTGGTAGTACTAGTTTTAGTAGTAATTCTGATATAGTAGCTAGTCCTAGTTCTTCTCATTTGATGCAATATATGCATCCTACAAACTCTTATGTACATGTTTAATTATCTATAATATGCTTATCTTTTCTATCAAAAAAAAAGATAATTAAAATATCCCTAGAGTCAAAGCGGAAAAAAAAATACGTCTCAACTCTCTAAAAAGCTTGAAATCAGAACCTTTTGCGGGGACGCTAGTGAACTTGAAAATTGTGCCTCCGTGCGTGGTGCCGCCGCTGAAGCTCTGCCCTTCCGCTGAAGCTGGTCCAATACTTCGACTCATTCCTCTATTTCTCCTTCTTTCTTTTTTTGGCTTCCAAGCTCCAGCAAGTAGAAATGGCAATGGGGTGGGGCGAGTGCGAGGCGGGACGGGTTTAAACTTATGCGGGTGCGGGGCAGGGTGGGGCGACTTTTAATATAAAAAATTAAACTCAATGCGGGGCGGGTTACGGCTCCATTGCCTTTATCCAGTTTTGGGCCTTTAGGCCTTTAGGCTAACACTGGAAGTTAATTTCATTGTTTAATCACAATTACATATTGAACCATATTCTGTAGAAAAATCATATTGTTGCTCTTTTCTGTTTTTTTTTTTTTTTTTTTTTTTTTTTTTTTTTTTTTTGCCGAAACACATTTACCTGATTATGTGTTTGATTTTAGATTTCTAGTAATATTTTTTTAATTAGGAGTAATAACATTCTTGAAAGTTCAGCAGCTTATAAATTATGTTAATCATTTGTTACTATTAGTTCATAGTTTATCAAAACTAAACGTAATAATGTATTGAAATCATAATCTTATTTCAATATTATAATACCATATTTATAACTACAACTACCCGTTTACCTATTCGGGATGTTGTATATTTTTTTCCATTCGGATGTGCTAATATTTTGTAGATCATGAAGTTTAGTTGTCAAATTTTAAAAGTTTTACCTTATAGATTAATCAATAAGTAAAATTTTATAGATATCATAAAAAATTTAGTCCTAAACTATTTTATAAATAGAATAATTTTCGGTGCAACATGTTAAGTGAAAAATAGATAACACGGTCATTAAAACAAGTTACTAATCAATAGAAAGGAAAAAGGATAAATAGAAAGGAAAAAAAAATTATGCGGGGCGGGTCTACGCGGGACGAGCGGGTTGAAAACAAAAAAAAATGCTATGCGGTGGTGGGGCGGGATGGGTTGAGTCATTGCGGGTTTAAGTTGAGTCCGCCCCGCAACTACCCAGCCCGCCCCATTGCAATCCCTACCTGCAAAAACTTATTTGTGTTACTAGATACTAGTTTCCATTGGATTTTTAGTATAGTGGCATTCCCTTAGTGTCTTTTATCGTAAATTGTTATGAGTTTGCTATTAGTTTTGATTGATTTTGCTTGAAGTAGCTATAAAAATGCATGTTCTCTATCTAACTACGGACTCTTGTGCTTCATTTGTATTTTTTTCCTACTCTTATTCTTTCTCTACCTCTGTATTCGTTCTCTTTTTTATTTTATGTTTTTTTTTTTTTTTTTGAGTTATGATTTTGTATTGTGTGATTATTCCTCTAATTAAAAGGCCTCACAATTCAGTTTGAAATTTCAACGGAGAAATTTTTCCTCAAGGTGAAGAAAATGCCGGCCAATCAGAAATAGTCGCGTTCTTCTCAGAGACTAAAAAAAAAAAAGAATTGATTTAGCTAAATGGTATGTTGCTTAATTTAAATCTAGGTGCACTGATACTTAGCTTAAAGTATATATATTTATATGTATATCGCCTCATATTTCACTCGTGTTTCGTGGATTTCGGATGTGAAATGTATTGATTTATGCTAATTCGTATTATTTTTATATGTAGGAATCATCCGAAGGCAATATGGGGCGAAAGGTGAGATTAGAGCAAAAAAGGAGCTAAAGTTGAAAATGGCCATTTGTAGCGCCACAAGCAACGTGGGGCGCTACCTGTGGCGTAGTTTCCAGAATCAAAAATTTCCCAGCACCAGGGCTAGCGCCCCACGATACCCTGGGCGCTGGTGACGGGAAATCTCTTCTACTTCGCCTGGGGCAAGGTTATTTCGGCCGAAGACCTACCCAACATGTATAAAAGCAAGACTAAGCCTATTTTGGGAGGTGAGACACCACTTTGAAGGAAAAATACACACGAGGAACATCCGGGAGCGACGATATCTCAGTTTTCTTTATCTTTTCTTAGTATTTTAAATTATTCAACACTTGTGAATTCGTTTTGATATTCTCATGAGTGGCTAAAACTCATAGTTTTAGGGTTCTGATTAAGCCATGAATATTATTATTTAAAGTTAACTTAACCTTGATTACAATTCACCAATATATGATTGTTTATTCAATTCTATGATTAATTGCTTAATTGTTTGGCTAACAGTTAGGTTCTATTTACTATATATGCTATGCTTGGGAAAGCTACGTTTAGATTATAGAAGAATTGAAGAGAGCATGATTTTAACTCTGAGGGGGGAGGGGGACGGATTTGTGGTTAGGATAGGAATATACCCCGTCACCGTGCTTAATTAAATATCGTAATCTTAATGCATTCTTAATAGATTGATTCCATAAGAATATAGGCGTTAATCTATTTTGAATAGGGAGTAGGAATTCGGGAGAATACTACGAGAGCAATTGTTCGATTAATTAGCAACCATGAGTGAATTGTATGAAAAGGAGAGTAAATTAGAGCACAATAGAATTGGTGAATCGATCACAACCCTGGAATATTTGTCTCTACTGAATACACAACAACTATTTTGCTACTTGATAAATTAGTTACTTGTTAGAATTATTGCGTAGCATAATCACACTTTTGAACATTGAAATACTTGACTGAATAATAATCTTGGTGAAACTAGTGGGTAGTTAACATAAGTCTCTGTGGGTTCGACATTCGACTTATCATTTTATTACTTGTAACACCACGTATACTTGCGTGTGTGTTTGGGAGCCACATGCACCTAATTATCGAAAATAAAAGTTATTTAAAATTTAAACACTCTTTAATAAAATTCTTATTTTCGTCAAATGCAAATGAAGCTTTTGAGATAAAAGGAAATATCTAGGGTGAGGAGGAATGTATCTACTTTTGAGAACCAGCTCGGATTCATGTTGGGGCATTCGACTACAGAAGTGATTCACCTGGCAAGGAGATTAATGGAACAATATAAAGAGAGGAAGAAGGACTTGCATATGGTGTTCATTGACTTAGAAAAAGTATACGACAAAGTTCTAAGGAAGGTCTTGTGGAGATGTTTGGAGGCTATTAAGAACATTAAGAGGAGACTCGGAACACTTTCTAGTCGTGATGAGGTTGTACCAGAGAATAACCCTTAGTCCATTTTTATCTGCCTTGGCATTGGACGCATTGATGCGACTCATTCAAGGAGTGGTGCCATGACGTATGTTATTNAAATAAACCTTTTTCTAAAACAAGAAAGAATATATATATATATATATATATATATATATATATATATATATATATATATATATATATATATATATATATATATATATATCCTCCTATTTGGCCTACCCAAGTAGTATAGAGGATAAGGAGAGAGAAAGGAAGGGATATGGCAAGAGCTGGAAGCTGGATATCATCAAGAAGCTCCATATCCCAACCACAACCTATTAAACCCTTCTTCTATTTTTCCCTAAACAACACCAAAGCTTCATTAAAAGGAAATGACTTCTCATTGGTAAATTCTTTTTCGTTTATGATCTTTGAACTTGCCATCGAATTTATACTTCATTTTACTTATTGATTTACAATTAAATATTTATATATTTTCTAATATAAATTAATAAGGATCCTAGCAAAAGTTATGGAGTTCGTTCGAATCCTCACCTAGTGCTCTAGCTACAAAACATCTTACTACTATTTTTAATTCTTTCTTTCCTATACACTTCATTATTGGTAAGTTTTCGTACCAATATGGACTGACAACCTACAAAAAAATGATAAATGATTTGTAAAAGTGATATGATAGTGTGAACTTTTTTTACACGGTCTTGTTTAATTTGGTAATTTCCAAATATTGAAGATAACAAAAAGAAGTCAAAGGGCTTCAAAGCGTTTGGTGACAATTTCTACCTCTGATGGAAAATGGCATGGGGAATGGAAGTGTGACTACATTTTCTCTCTTCGAGATCTTCAACTTGAAGATTTAGCTGAAGATGGCCATAAAGATACTCAAGTTTCCATTAATCTTTGTATTCACAAGGTTTCATCGCTATTCCTTTAATTAATTAGGCATTCTTATTCTGTGAATATTCTTACCAAATCCTGAATGCAAGACCTTTTAATTGATGAGCAGCACACAGGTTTTGGGCTCTCAGTGGATGGAAGAGTTATCACATCTTTCACTAGAAAATGCAGCAACTGCTCTTCCCCATACTGCAGAGAGGTATTTATAATGAAATTGTTGTGGTTGATTTCTGGGTATAAATGTGGATAATATGTTCCTGTTTGGTCAGATTGATGCAAGCTTTAAGGTTTGGGTTTTACCATCAAGCAGAGAAAAAGGATCAGCTACGGATGAGCTTCCAGTGCTTGGTTGGGATGATCCATCTGTAAGAATACAAATTCGAGCATCGCTCTTGTTGTCCCATCATCAACATGAACTAAGAAAACTTTATCTTTTTTCAGGTTATCTATGTGAAACCAGGATTTGAAGCTGACCTTGATTCTCTAATACAAGATACCATAAGCCTTGCTGCCGCTGTTAAAGTATATATCCACTTTTCTTCTCAATATACAACTCCATTTTATTTATAGGGAAAACCATTTTAAACCAGGATATTGCTTATTTTTGCAGGAGACTTGTTCAGAATCATGTGAAAAATCTGAACCTAAATTACACCGTAAGAAACAGATGTCCTTGTTTTGAGTTACAAAAATTATTTGTACATGATTTCAAAATTCTGATTTTTCAAAAACCGAATTTAGATAAGTGAAATAGGAAATCAAATTGGAAAAATTTCTATTACAATAATAACATCCATCCGTTAATTATTTATTGCAGCTTTGGGCAAACAGAATGCTGCTTCAATTGATAGGAGATGGTCCAGATTATTGGAGCTCAAGAAGGTAACGTTAATGAAATCTCAATAAAGCCTACGGGGTGAGATTGATTATTGCACCAACGCTAAAAGAAGTTGGCTTTTATTGACTCAATCCCCAAAGGATGGAAATAGATATTTGCGTTTGGATCCATCCCTCATCACTCAAATATTGTAGACAGTACTGTTGATCTTAAAGGACAAGGCAAATACTGTATATTAGGAATAAAAAGAAGGCATTCCTTTCTCTTTTTGTTCAAAGTCTATATATATTTTGTTGATACACTATAGCAGAAAGCGCAAAAGGAGAAATTGAATGATATGTAAACTGCCAGATTGAGTCTACGGCTCATTAGACGTGGAATAACTTGGGCCAAATACATAGACAACCCCTTAAAGTTGTCAATAATTTTACTTAGACACTATAATTAAAGCATTTTCCTATTAGACACTCCAACCTTATCTAACGTGTTTCAATTAAACACTAATTTGACAGCCCCAAATAAATTAAAGAGCGTGAGGTTCAGATACGCCTGATGTAAATGAACGAATAAGCGAATGACATGTGGCAAACAACAGAAACGAAAAGAAGGAACAAAATCCCCACCCCCTTTCGTCTTCCTCTTTCCTTTTCTCCTGTTGTCATATTCTTCTTTGTCCATTAGAAAAAGATACGACATATACTATGCATAAATGGAGATATAAATGATAATATAACCTCGACCGGCGGAGTTCAACTTAAGCCGTGGTTATACTCCTTACATGAGTGCCCCTTCAAGCCATTCAGAAGCTAACCCAGTTGAAGATGACGATTCAATTGGAAAAAAATTCCTACAAGAGAAAAATCAACAATGACCAATTGGATAGAATTCTTAAAGAGAAAAAGATCAATATTGACCTAGTTAAAGATGACAAATTTGCTTTTGATTTTACAGGACATTAGAGAGAGTTTATTTATGAGAAGCTGATTTGCTCTTTGATAGAAAGATTAAGCCCTTTGAAACCATCACCACAGTTTTGCTGTATAGCAAAACACATTGATTCTCAGAAATTACCAAAGTCTCCAAAGAAACTGTTCACGCAAGCATTCATTCCCCGATGGGAGAAATTCAAAAATAGCCAGGTTTACAAGTGGTAATTGAAAAATAGTCATATTGTCAAAAGTAATTAAAATTTAGCCACTTTTCATGTAACAATAAATCTGAACGAAAACACTGTTCAAAATTCGAAAAATACATAATATACATACACAGGTGCTCCAATCTCCAGTATATTATGCTGGAACTTTCCGTGTACTGGCGGTCCAGCATAATATGCTGGAAGCTCATACACAAGTGCACCAATCTTCAGTATATTATGCTGGAACTTTCCGTGTAGTAGCAAAATAGTGGCTATTTTTCAATGACTTTGCAAATGCTGGCTATTTTTTAATTAACCAGTCCGAAAACTGACTAGCCCGTGCTATTTTTTCAAGAATAATGATTTTGACCCATTTGCCACTGCTACTTTTGAAAATTGATCCGAGAACCTCCAAATTGAAAATTTCTTCAAGTTCAAGAAATTAAAATGAGATATTCGCAAGGTGATAAGCTTTTCAATGATATCTGTGAATGTTGTTTGAAATATCATTTCTTAGTTACCTTTTATTTACTACTCCCTCCGTTTCATATTATTTGAGGTAGTTTGACTCGGCACGGAGTTTAAGAAAAAAGAAGAAGATTTTTGAAACTTGTGGTCTTAAAAGCTTAAGGGGTAAAAGATTTGTGGAGCCATACCATTTGTGTGGCTATAAAAGCTTCTCATTAAGGGCAAAAAGGGTAAAATAAAGAGTTTAAAGTTGAATTATTTTCAAATTTAGAAATGTATCATTTGTTTTGGAACAGACTAAAAAGGAAAGTACCTCATTTAATAGAAACGGAGGGAGTAGTAATGTTTATTACTTGTTTCGTGGCTGAATAGAAAATGAGAAGGATCACAATTGAAGGAAGTGAAAAATGGGGAGAGTTGTATGATATTGTGTGGAAGAACTGGTGAACGAATTTGGAATCACCCAGCCTTTCACGCGCTTAAAAGATATGTAAAACGTCCATTGTGTCATGTCAGCAACCTGTGTTTAATTGGAGCACATTAGGTGAGGTTAAAGTATGCAATAGCTAAATGCCTTAATTAAAGCATCTAAGTGAAAATTGGTGACAACTTTAAGGAATGTCTAATTATTTAGCCAATAACTTATACAGGATTAGTAAACTCCTAAAAGACAAATTAACCTTGATTCATCTTTCTATTTTTCACTTACTTCAAAAGCAAGGGTAAAATTTTAAGCTTTTATACCATACACCGATACCCCAATTTTAATGCAATAAACCAAAAGTTTGCCAAAAAGATCATATAGACTACATAATACAGCCATGTTTAATCGTGTTATAATCTCTGTATAACATTGTCCACGAACCAAACCACCCCAAGTTCATCTGGGGGGGTGTTGGGTGGGGGGGGGGGGTGGTATAGAGAGAACCAAACATACCGACTCACTACGAAGTCAGTCAAATGAAAAGATATGTTACAAAAAGCAGACCACATTAGGATATTTGAATGTTGTTTTATCCTTATACACCTATGCACAACTCTTGTGATAGTCACTGCCTATTGTAAAGCAAATTCTATTGTTAAACTCTAATAATGTCGCACTTTAGACTCTTGAAAGGAATACCTAATTCAGCAATTTAACCTGATCCAGATAATCTAGGTCATCTCCAAGCCCCATCTATTTGCTCCTCATCATGATTTCTAACAATCCAAGCTCCTTCAGAAATTTCATCAAATAGCTGGTCCCAACCCCAACTCGAAAATCCCAAAAAGAACCAGAAGTCATAGATAGACTGGTTTCCTAGCCTTAGCTCTTCTATGATGCTTATTGTGGCCCTATGGTCAAGAAAATAAACATTTGGTAATACTTCCATGGACTGGTTAACAATATACTTTCTGGACAATGAAACGAGAGGCATTCCACGTTTCATAACAGGGCCACCGAAAGATAGAGGAGCCTCCTTCAGAAGCTGTAAGTTATCTTCAAGTTCATCAAGCGTGTCCCAGCTGATATGTTTGTTGACAATCAGACCTTGAAATCCTGTGCTTTGATTCACTTTCACAACAAGTACTTTGGATCCATCGAATGGGTGAACATTTAGAAGCTTCTCCGTAGCAACAAGGATGGAACCAACAATCACATGAGGGGATGTTTTCGCTGAGCTACTAAGAGGAGCTCTATTTTTGCTGAACTGAACATCTAATGTTGGTGGTCCTTCTTGAAGTATTATTTCATGTAGTAAGTTCTTAAATGGAGGAGCCTCTGCATTCATGTTATGATTTATTCCGGGTTCACCTTCACTCCACAGTATACCTGATGTAGGAAAAACGGAAAGACAAATTTGAAACATATAAAAAGAACTTGTAATATGCAACTGCACTAATTGTAATTGGCAAAGCAAATGACCAGAAAAACTTATGATGATAGGTTTCACTGCAATCTGGATACTCCAGGAATCTTCCTTTAAACAGATACTCTAGGGATAGGTTTCTCCTCTTCTTTTGGTTGGATAGATACTACTTAATTGGTTCTAGTTCTCTCCTTTTGCCTTCAGTGTAAAGGATAAACATCTCTTTAATGTTTGACATGAAATGCAAACCAGTGACTTATGGAATAAGAACAATAGAGGATTGAGCATATATATTTTTCAAACAAAAGACAAAGCATTCTCACAATTACTAAAGGTGCTACAAGTTTTCTTTCCTAAACATGGGCGGCCAATTTCAATAATATTCTTGTAGCTCTGGTCAGTGGTAGTTTAACTATTTTAAGAATTTATTCTGCTATATATCTATACTCTGCACAAAAATTAAAATCCTCATATTTTGTAGGTTTCTTATCTTACCTAATGTTCGGTTCAGGCGTAATTTGAGTTAACTTTATTCTCAGTTTAGGAGACTTTAATTTCTACACTGCTAGGACACAAAACAACAAAACCTATTTGTAAAAAAAAAAGGCGTACACTCTAAATCTCCACATCTATTTTCCTAATAATGCTTTATTAGATACTCTCAAATATTGGTTCCAGCTCCCCCACTTTCTAGGTAAGTAACCACTTCCAACTTGCGTAAATGATATTTCTTAACACTGCATATTCTCAAATCTGGAAACTCACCTTTCTCTTGAAGAAGATCATAAAAGTGGCCCCCGTGGTGAGCAAGAAAGTCAATGATATTAGATACTACTATATCTCCACCATAAGGGATAGCTTTCTTCCTCCCAGCTGGAAATAAGAGTAGAGATGGATAAAGCTCCCTCTGCAAAATTGCAATGGACAAGCACAAGACAAAAATTAACACTTAAATACAAGTGGAGGATTGATTGTGGACTGCTTAATTTGAGTTAGGAAGTACTAGAGTTTAGAGATTATAATAGCTTATAATTTTCCACCTGCATTTCACATACCAGGAAGAAACTTAGTAGAAGATTTCGGCACGAAAGTGCATGATTTTAAGCCATTAGTTTTATTTGATTAACAGGATCACCCAACAGCAATGCTCTTCTGTAATTAGGGTAAATTTCATTTCAGAACAGCTGAGCATGTGAAGAACTTATCTTGGCACATCCCTAACTTCACAAAGATCTCAGCCCAAGCATGTGAAATAGTAAAAGCAGTGTCATCTACTTGCAAAAGGGTGAAAAGAAGGATGAGAAACCAGAGTGCAGAGGATTATTATCTGCGTGCCTTTGACCCCAACAATTTGGCAGCCATCTAACTTAAGTAAGCTAAGATGCTAATACTAGGGAAGTCGAAATGCATATTATACTAAAAAGTACTTATCAGCTAAGCATTTAAAGTATTCAAAGTAATTTTTAAAAGTTGGTCATAACAGGATGGAAATGGCCACAAGGTGACTATTAACGCTACCAAAGCCAAATATTTTTAGTCTCACAAAAGATTTGCAGATTAATGTAAGGACTTAACCAAGTGAAAGGGGGCAATTTCAAAACTGTAGAAACTTCATGAAATCATGCCAGTTCCTAGATTTCCTTTTGTCTAAATAAGGATCCCTACAAGGAGAATCCCTCTTCCTTTTTTCTTTTTTTATTTTATTTTATTTTATTTAAACTTTAGCTTTCATTTTTTTTGTGCTTCTGCATCTCCTTGATATGTTCTTATCAAATAATACCTCTTGTTTACTGATAAAAAAAAAGAGTCCTCAAGAAATGCGGCATGTCATAGTTACTCCAAATATGA